CATAAGGGTTATGATTTTATTGCGAGTTCGTCTAACTTTAATCTCGCGATGGTAGAACGCCGTGTTCTTATCACCAAACAAGGTCCCGTCACGTTAGGACTTTTGTAGCAAAAGAAGCTCTTCGTGCAGGAGAACCTCATCTAATTCACGCCGCAACTTTCTCTCTAGCGTGACCAGGCTTGTCTTAAAGTAGAAACGATAAGATTTATGAATCCCCTCGATGCGGGCCATAAGGCGTTTCTTACGATGGAAAAGATTCCCAACTCTAGTGGAATTCCATTCTCATACCTCTTCTCCAAATCTGGTTGCCATGTCTAAATAATCAACACCCTCTTTCCACACCTTATCCACCACACGCGGGAAGTCGTCGTGTAATAGCCAAGCGGCTAAGAAGCGACATGGCTTTACCCCGCCGCAGCGAGAAATGTAGTTTTTCGACTGTATCAATATAGGAGGATGGTCCGAACCCAGACGGTCTGAAAAACGGTCCAACCACTCTAGATTAACGATGAAAAGGTCGTACTTTTCGGCAACCGACCCTCTGCACCAAGTGAAGCAGTTATCCACAGCATTAAGTTCGTATAAGCTGTGGGTAAAATCCAACTCTGGAAGTCAGAGGTGGTATTACATCTTAAGGGTGAACCTCCTAGCTTCTCGGATGCCCGGAGGAGACAGTTGAAATCACCTCCTATTACCCACGGGCCGCGGGTGTGTCGCGCCAGCTCATCCAGCGAATTCCCTAACAAGCGTCGTTATGATATAGGCATTATTATTAACAAAAGTTCAAGAGATTTGTTTTAATATTTGGGGTTATGATATTTAAGTAAAATTAATTTTATTTGGTTATTTATGCATTTGGATTTTTTTTTCTTATTTTTTAATTAGATTGCGAATACTTTACCTCTAGTTCTATTTTTTATTTTTGTTATGCTTTTTTAATCATTAATTAAATAAACAATACAATTGTTCTCGTGATTATCATTAGATGGTTATAGCCCGGGTAGATTAAGAAATTTGGGTCCACCCTTGCAGCTAGACGTGTCGACCCTTCATAATTTATTTATTTCTTTAATTGAAAAAAAATGCGTACTTCTCATCTAATATGTCATATTATTATTATTATTATTATTATTATTATTATTATTATTATTATTATTATTATTATTATTATTATTATAATGTACTGAAATATGATTGTCAACGATGATGAATCACAAGAAGTTTGTGCCACAATTACAAATTTTGCAACATAATACCAAATGTAAAGTAGTCCAATTAAGCTGTCTACTACGCCAGAAAGACAATGGCAAATATCAGTATCTAATTGCACATCTGAACCTTTCAGAATCCTCAAGAGATTGCAGCTAAAATTCATCGGTTCAAATGTCATAGATTGTGTACTCGTGTATTATACAATATGAGATGTTATTATTAATTTATTTATAGTCATTTACGGAATGCTTGACCAAATTAACACAAGACCAAGTCCCGCATTCGCATTTCATCATTTTAATAAAGAGATTACTTTAGATAAGAAACAACAAAAATTAATTTGTGTTGCAATGTATCAATAATTTGCGAGACAACATTTTTTTTTTTTTTGGTACAGGGACCTTCCGGTTTTCGGATCCACAAGGAAACCGACTAATCTGGAATCGAGCCTGGTAGGACTACAAAGGCGGCAAAGCTCTCTCTCAAGAGTTTTTAATACTGCTGTATTCCCATAGCTCGAACACGAGACACTGGTTAAGCTAGAAGAGACCCAAGCCATTTTATCCAAGCGCTCTTGAGTGGAGACAACAATATTTTTAATAGAAATTTATCTTTATGTCATCAAATGTCATATGTTTTTCCGATTATTTTTTCTGGGGTGGCTACGCGCCCTAAAACTACCAGTACCAGACCTGTATTAACTGAGAGCTAAACTTTGATTGTCTGTCTTAAGGATATAGACGTCAGGGGCACGTCTTTAACGAGTGATTTATTTAAAAAAAAATATATAGAAATTAAGTGGACAAAAAAAAAAAGTGAGTGGACAAACATAAAAAACCCGTATTCCTTGCGTTTTACTAAAAAAAATTATTTAATAAAACGTATTCCTTGAATACGTTTTTATTTAACTGTTTTAATTAAAAAAAATCGAAAACAATTTTTAAAATTGTTTTCGTTAAATAAAAAAAAGAAATAAAAAACGTATTTGAATAATACGTTTTAGGAAAACGTATTTGATGTAGAGCGTAGTACAATTGGGGATAATATGAGATACTCTCTCAAGAACGAACCATCAGAAATTTCAATTCAACAATAATCTGTTTTATTTGATCGCAGTTCACATATAAATAAAGGGAAAGAGTCCTAATCTAGTATCTTGCCTAACATATTGCAAGATATTTATTTTAATTACTTAAAATAAAAGAAAATAACATAATAAGCAAATAAATAATAAACAACTTAAACTCGAAGCCTGTTGTATTTATTTAAGAAGGCGATCGCGGTCTTGTCTCCATCATCCTCCCCTGGTTGAGAAGGATTCGACCTTGAATCCGAAACGGTCTCGTCTTCGTCTGAGTTGTCGCCCGTAAATGGGACCAAATGTTTGACGTTAAAAACGTCAGACGTGCGAATATGGGACGGAAGGCGAAGGCGATAAGCATTGGGATTGATCTTCTCCACCACTTCGACCAGACCTATCTTACGAGCAGACAATTTATTGTACTCGTGGGCCGAGAACCTGTCCTTCGTCAAAACCGCCCACACAAAGTCACCCACCTCGAACTCAACGTGGCGACGCCGAACATCCGCCCGCCGCTTGTAAGCCGCGGTGCTGTCCTCCAAATGAGCCCGACCAGCGGCGTGTGTGGCCTGGAGGTCCGCGATGAGGTCGGCAGCTTGCCGATCAGGTGCCGCCACTGAAGGAAGGGCCAGCAAGTCTGACGGACTGCGAGGTTGCACAACATAAACCGTCTGAAAAGGAGAAAACCCAGTGGCACGGCTGACGGCCGAGTTATGAGCAAACTCGGCCTGGCTAAGGCGTTGGTCCCAACAACGAAGGTTATCGACAACGCAGCAATTACCCAATGATCTATCTACAACCTCCGTCT